CAGTGCGAAGCACCTCGAAGCAGCACAGCCCATAAACAACATCGAACGTCATGGAACATTCACAGGCAAGTAACTAGCTACAGTAGGTGCATGCGGACATACTGGCAATAAAAAGATGGATTGCTGGAATCGGGGCTAGCAAGGCCATCTACAAATGAATATTGATTGAAAAGACGTGTTCAGGGTCACTTTGCCCCTGAGAAAAAGCCTATCGTTTCGTTGGGTGCTAGAACAGCATTGCTCTACAATGCAGTATTGCCCTACAGCGCACGAATACCATTGGTATCATGATCGACACACAATGTTTGCACTCCCTCAAGGCACTTCTCACACCAACAAGCTCAAGGATTCTACAGGCATCAAGCTCAACAATAGTGACACGATGAAGGAAGTGCCCAAGGGCGAATATGGGCCGATTCGTGTCAAGACTGATGAGGGCAACGTTGTGGACAACTTCTATCTCCAGAATACACTTGACGTCTGAGGCACACAGGGGAACTCATCATCGTAAGCAGAATCAAACTCGCAGTGGCCGGGCGCCTGCACCAAGCACAAGAAGGAAGGGCTACAACTACTTTTGGTAACAGAAATGGTATGGTAACCACGATGGTGGATTTGCGCGGTGGCATCCTAGCTCTTTCTGTCATGAAGGGAATCACCACCGCAATGCGGAATATGTCGGCCTGTCCAGGTCGTGCAAATGCGGATGATGGGCTATGCCCCAACCCCCTCGGTAAAGCAATGCATGACTTGTGCAACGCAACGCAACCCTGCAAGGTGAAGGGCCTACAGTTCACTAAAGCTGACCGTGTATATGAAGCATGCGCGTTTGGAACGCTGCCCACTTCCCATAGAGCACCACAAGGGAAGAACGCATAATACAGTATGTGTTTGAAAGAGTACACACAAGTATCGTTGGGCCTGTGCCCATGAAGAGCGTAAATGACGCGCTCAACTTCCTAACCGTTACAGATGAAAAGTTGGGCAGGGTCTGAGCTCACACACTGGTATGCCGTAAGAATGTTGCAAACGGCATCAACAACTGGATGCGCCAAGTAGAGAAGGAGACAACCAAGGTGAACAAGATCATCTGTTCAAACAACAGCGGTGAATACATCGGCATGCGGGTGTAGTAGCAACTCCTTCGACAACACGGTATGAGGCGGGAATGGTTAGTCCCATACACACCTCAATAGTACGGGAGCGCTGAGCGCCTCAACCTGACCCTCTGCAACAGGGTCCGATCATGGATCAGTAGGTTGAAGCTAGAAAAAACCCTCTTGGGTAGGCTCGTGGCAGCAGATGTCTACATGTACAATCATCGCACATGCATCATGCGTCGCAACAGTCGCATGATAACTCAGGTTCTAGAAGTATACTGCAACCATAGGGTATTGTTCGACCACTTTCACGTAATAGACTCAATGGCCTACTTCATGGATGGTGGAGCGCTACAAAGCACCAAAATTTATAAACATACAGTTAAGGGTATCCGCGCCTCTTCAGACAGCGCTACGAGATACGGTCTCTGGATCGTTAGCCTGATATGAAGGATTGGTTTAGTATATCCCAACTTAGGGTGCTCTGACATCTTGATATTCTCTACAATATACGAGGGCTGGTCACCTTGTGCAGCTGCATACATGTCCACAAGTTGTTGTCATTCGCATGCACCTACTGTAGCTAGTTACTTGCCTGTGAATGTTCCATGACGTTCGATGTTGTTTATGGGCTGTGCTGCTT